ATTTACTATTGATTGCCACTAAAGTTAACATAACTTTTCATTTTTCTATTTTTTCTTCACTTTATTTCATTTCCAATCTATAGATCATTGGATTTGAATATCTTTGTCGCGAATATCCCTTTCTTTGAGTTGAACTCAATTTACTGAATATTTTATGCACAGAGAGTACAATATTCACCAATTTTCTCATAGCTCTCTATATCCCAGAATATGACATACCGTAGATATACATACCTGTGCTCTACTCTCACTTGTTCAGTGTATAGAATTATGAACTGTGCTATATTACAGTATATTATATACAGTCATATTCTGGTATGATATTAGTTTGCAGTAAATTTTTGTATTTTTAGAAATATTTGTCTCTATGAAATTATAACTATTAATAAATTTCAAGTTTTTGTTTAATGTTTGGTAGACTAGAGTCTTATAAATTATAATTTTATACATTTTCGACATACATTTAAATGTTAGCAAATTCTTGAGAATTCATGTCAGACTGCAAACTCACATTTCCATATAAATAGACGTAAGGATTATGTGATTATCGGAACGAAAGGTATCACACGATTCACACCTTACTGTCCATTATTAGTGTGAATTTGATTTCAATGGCAGTCATTCATAAGAAATTAATAGGAATTTCATTATAATTTTTAAACGCAAAGTTCTGTTATATTTCTAAAAAATCACATTTGGATTATAAATAAATACTTTAAACTCTACACTTAAATGTACTTAGTCTTACTGTTAACTTTTTATTAGAATAACTATTTGTTTGATAACATGAATGTCAACTGAGAGTCGAAATTAAGTTTTAAGTCTAGATTTATGATAACTGTTTTGAACAAAAAAGTTTTTAATGATCGAGAATTACTATTAATATAAATTTTTATAATTAAACTTTAATTTGTAGGATTTTATCAATATTTACTTTATTTGCGATTAATATTGTAATAACATTATCTCACTTATATCGCCCTTTTCATTAAAATATGAAAATAATTTCGTTTGAAAAGTATTTTTACTTTTGCCTCAAAAAACTTTGAATTACTTTTCCTGTGTTTTCAAACTTAGAATTAATTAAATATGTATTTATGGAGATTAATGCACACCATATGTCGGATTAAGACTGGATTTAATAGACACATTAATATTCGCCTCAAATATTCAAATATTTATGCGTTTATACTACAGTGTAATGAAGGAATTAAAAAGAAATATAATTACCTTTTATTTTATGGTTTCATTAGAATTAACGTTAAATAGCAGTGAATGTGCTTTACTATGATTTTGAGGGATGGGTTGGGGATGAGATGGAGGTGTTCTGCAAATAATTTAAATGTCATTCACTTTATTCTTAATATCTTACGTAAGAATAGGAACTGATAACTGATTAAAAATAAAAGTAAAGCACACTATACTGTAGTAACTACAGTGTATTTAAAAACTTTGTGAGGTACCGTAAGTGTAATGTAATCATTGTAATGTTATTCACTTCAGTGTTTGCCTTAATTTTCAATTTAGGCTATATTTTATAGTTAGAAACCAAATAAAAATATTTGTATTCAGTCTACCAGACAGTGTTGCCTTCGGTTGCAATTTATTCGTTGTTTATTTGGGTTTTATTTATAATAAACATATTTTGAGAATTTACAAAAGTAACCAATTCTTATCAATAAATAAAAGTCTGCATATAATTGAGATTATATTTGTAATCAACAGACTTTGTATTAAATAACAAAATTAGTATAAAAATCAATTGACTACAAGTAAAGTTGCATTAATTGGTCGCTAACGGCAGCGGTGGTCAGAGTTCCCAAATCTGTCAGAAGTAATGTTATATAGGATGGCGGCGTGTAATCGACTAAAGGGTGGTTCTCGAAGTCCCGGTTGGCCTTCCACTTGAGTCTGTCGGGAATGTCCGACTGGTTGAGAGGGTAGAGGCGAATGAATTTGTAGCTCTCGGCCAACACATAGAACGGCTTATTCATGGATTTGGCACAAATGGCCACCGAATACGTCCCGATCTAAACACACATTCAGTTGCATTTCACGTCATCTCATCAAATCATGACTCACTTTATTGATTATTCCTCCACTTTCTGCCACTCCTTCGGCTCCAACTAATACTATGTCTACTTTTTCCATAATATAAGCGACGGCGGCGTCGATAATAAGTGTACTATTGATACCATTGCTTTGCAACCACTCAACCATTGTTTTTCTGAAGACAATCAGTGTTTATGAGAATTATATAGAAATTCTTAATAACACAAGAGTCTGATCCCATACCCACTCATATCTGGAGCAGATTCGGTGACAAAGACTGTGAATATCTTGTGAGCCTTCTTGGCCTCGGCTAACGTACAGTTGACAGCACGCGAACAGCCGTGGATTAGGATTGTCTGCAATGGCATCACAATTGAGACAATATTCATAAGACGACAATCCAATCAAATAATGTATGATATCTTACACATCCATCAGATATGAATGGGTGACCATTTTTGGCCACTTTCTTACGACATTCCATCGCCTTCTTCAGGAACACATCACTTCTTCGAGACAACTCACTCTTGAGTTCATGAAATTTCTGGCAAAACATTAGATATTCATATTCTGATTGTCACCACAAATATCACCAAAACTCACGTCATATTCGGATGCCTTAAGAGTAATGAACCGGAAGTATATCTCAGCCACGGATTCAACTTCAGTGATGGGCTCTATATTCTTGAGTAACTCAATGGCCGACCGCACGTTCTCTCGAAGACCTAATGCTGTCAACGCTTTCATACAAAACACAACTCATGTTAATATAGAGCACAACAAATGAGCCGTCGATGGCATACATAAGTCCTTCTTCAGGAACTCAATCAATGTCTTGAGGGTTGCGATGGCCGGAGAGTTCTCGTTACCCAACTCTTGCCGGTAGTACTGACCGATGGCTGCAATCAATCCATTCATTATCACCACAATTATCACATCGT